AATTGATTCAATTATCTAAAAACTAAATAAACGACCCACCAACCGCCAGTTGATTTAAGAAATACTATCTATACCTAAAGATGGGCCAGATGTTACAATGATTTCGTACGAGTGATTTGATTTATGGTGGATTTTAATGATCTTCATATGATTAGGGTATTTTATTACGATCATTAGCGATTAATTTCACTGACAAATCACCTAAATTAACGACCACACCGCGAGTTTTTAACTGGTTCACGATGATCATAAATTAGAGGGGAAGAGGGCGCCAATAAATAAAAAAAAGTCTGCCACTCTCGTAAGGATGTTCACACCCGAAGTCCGAATTCGTGGGCAGTTCAGCAAATAAACAAAAGTAACAGCTCGGGGCTTCTGCCCTTGGACGAAGAGCGCTGCGGCTCCCTGGGAGGACAGGTATAATTAAGCAAGAGAATCATCGAAAAAAACAAAGATAAATTATCATATTTTAATATGGAACGCGTCGCAAGAGCGCCCCTGGCGGAGAGTGAGTCTTCAAATTAGGCTGGACTTGGGAGCAGAACAAGTGGCGAACTGGCGAAGGTCCTTCGCCGCTGTTCCGCATCGAGGCGCATTCGCGTGCATGGAGGGGAGACATTTTCGTGTTTCCTGTCGTTGACAGACCCAAATGCAGAAATTTCGCATTAATTATCCAGCAGTGGAAAAACGACGGCCAGCAACCTTATCGACAGAGATTAGAGAGAGTAAAGTAATTTTAAGTGCAAGAGCAACTGTGGTCGTCTTGTCTCTTGTTCTTACCCAACCAATTGAATCTGTGAGAACTAAAACACATCAACTCAAAAAATGAAAATAATCAAGACACACACTTAACTGCACAGTAAAGAATTTAGTCAAAGAAAGCATTTTAGTGCCGAAAGACAAGTACTTAAGGACGCTTTACTTAAAGGTCCACAGTGAAACAGATGCGCTAACTTTACGGACTTTTATGAAAATTGACTGTCGTAAATGAAAATTGAGCATTCTTCAGTTACCGAGTTGGTGTGTTTAGGTTCTCACTGGTTCAATTAAGTAAATGCCCTTATTTTGGGACGGAGCTTTTGAAACTGCGTTTGGATTCAATTTAGCGACAGGAGGTTGAATGTTCTTGATGCGGACGAAATAAATTTCAGAGGGAGCGCCAATACCCTACCTATGACTGCTGTCCCCATATTGACTACGAACCGGACCCGTGTTTAAACAGTTGCGGTCAGAGATTTAATAGGTAGCGAGACCAAACAAAGCTTGAAATCCTGAATTCCACACAAAGCGTCAGCTGATGAGGAAAAACAAAAGGTCAACTATTCATTTTGCGCTTCACTTTCCGCGAGTCTACCACTATGCAAACAGTATAAAAACGGATTCGAGCATTTGATTTCGATTGCTAGCATTTTGAGAACTTCATTCCTTCAGGATTAAGATTCAAAATGGTGAGAGAAAATCGAAAGTCTGCGCAGCACGTTCACTACCGAGCTGGAAATATTCCTGTCGGAGTTACACGTGCTCAGACGTAAGTATTTAACGGTATTAAGTACGCCGGAAGAACTTAGCGACGTAATAAGCTACACCACTTCTTAATCAACCAAACTCAAATTCCAGATTGCAAATCATTGAAAAGGAAGAAAGGAAAGTTCGGCACATTTTGATCGAGCTATTCCCACGCCTCTGATGATATGATGAAGATTAAAAAGAATTCATCGAAAAACAAAATTCCGATGACCCTTGACCGATAATTCAGGGGCCTAGGTACAACGAGCCGGACATATCCTTTATCTGCGGAGTAGAAATAATCAACACACCAAGTAATTTTAGTTCCACTCATTATCGCAATTGATTTCGTTTCCGTTCTGAGAGATGATATTCGCATCAACGGTTGGAAACGAAAAGTAATTCCGCTCGAAAGTGTACTCGACTGAAAAAAAGAATCGCCTGAGCGCTTTTCTGGCCTCACATTTTCCAAAACCTTTATGTTCTAAATCATTGTAAATTTCTTCATTTTCTTTGGATTTTCCGTCAAAAAAATTAACTTCTGCTCAAAGGCAAGACTTCCACAAGAATACGACTTTGGAGACAAAAACAGGAGATAAATATCAAACAAATCGTCGCGACAATCACAACTCACAACAGAAGAGATCTCTTCTTAATTCACGAGACAAATAGCACTCAGAATTCGAGTAGGTTAGGGAAAGAGCATCGGTCGCGCGTTCTAAAAGACAAGGCTCAGGATTTACGACAAAGGGCGGACAGCATCAAACTTTAAATAACCAGCGATAGCAGGACTGCCGTTCTACGTAAAAACGCCATATGGGCATTTGAGTGTTGCCAAACATTTTCTTCCAAAATATTTACTTTTGAAGAGTGGCATGAACATTTTACCTTGAAATTTTCAGACGTTTTAGATCAAATTACGAACGAATCCTGTAGAAAAATCGGCGGAGAAATATGCACAAATTTTCCTGAAAATCCGAGATTTATTGAAGGAAATTTGGCAACATCGAATGGCTTGTGCGGCGTTCCTGCTTAAGAGGGCAGAGGGAGGAGTATTGTAAATGCCGAAACGTCGCCACTTTCCCTCGTTAAATCAGGGTGAAGAGGGCGAAACGGACGACTCATGCTAAAAGGAACTATGTGCATAAGAGTTAACGTGCAACATAGTTCCTTTTAGCATATACGTTCGAATGAAGCGCATCCGACAACATCGACTGCAGTCCGGTCCAGTCACTGGACATGCACTATTTCACGCTCCGTCGAAATGCTGTGTGTGACGAATGCCGGCATTTTGTAAAAGTCGAGGGATAACATTGTTTTTGGAGGGCGATCACTTTACGAGTTTCTCCTCCCATGTGAGGAGGAGGTCACTTGTCACATCTACATTGCTGTCACCGACCTATTAATCGAGATCAGGGATTATCTCGACGGTTTGTCTAACTAGTGTAAATCATACCTTATCTTCCTTATGGACTGGGAGGTAGGCTTTGATATTTTCAAATGCGACCGATTTCTGGAATTAAAGAATCTGGACACTCCTTTGAGGAAACCGCCCGAGCAAAATGCTGGCAGCGAAAATTGGACGCGACGTCCAAGTTTGAGAATATTTAAAAGGGAAACCGAAAATAAATGTGTACATACTTGAGAGCTTATTTTTTTTAAATATTGACATGTTGGATAGTTACATTCCAAAAGTAGGTACGTAAGAGCTTAAGTGCAAGGTACATGTCGCAAGATCAAGAACACTGCGTGTTTCTTTTTGCAAATTTTTAATAATACTTAAGTCACCGAATGACGGACATTGTTTCCCAATTTAAATCTGGACTTATTCTGGTCGAGTACTACTCGAATGTTAATATTTATCAGGAAGAAAATTATCTCAGCCACAAACAAATGCCGCATTACCAATTAAAAATCTCACACAAAAATGTCTGTGACAAATACGAGTGTAAAAGATGCAGGCTAAAGTTTCGATCTTCATCTTTCAATTCACGGCGAGAACATTAAGAATGAGGGGAGAAAACTGGTGACAGACGATAAATTTGGCAATTAAATCGTTAGTCATTCAACACTAACTTCAATCTTCAAAATTAGATAGTTTAAAACTCAATCCTCTATGTGAAACGTAGACCCATCCAACTCCCTGATGATTTTCTGTGCGAACATTACATCCGAATATTTCTTGGGGTCTGATGCTGAAGACGGACGTGAAGGGAGACGCGACTTCAGAAGAAATTTTCAGTTCACTCGTTGGAAGTTAATAGGATTATTCGGAGCGTTGGCGCCTAAACTTCATCCCCTAGCTGAAAAATACGTATGCCTAGTTAACCGACATTTGAGGGGTTTCACGAAACCGGACCTCACCAAATGTCGCACCCTTTCGTAATGACTTAGTTGACTTGGGCAACCCGACAAACGGATCTTTCGTAATGCGAGAAGCTTTAGGTATATCGTACAGCTTCTCGTAATTTGCAGCGGTCACAATCGGAAAGAGGGTGTTTCGCAGTAGGCAATACTCATTCTCAATAAATATTGTTTAAACAATCTTACTGTTGTTTTTCAACTCATTTTCATTGAGAATACACTTTTCTCAGCCCAAAATCCGTTTAAAAAAAATTGTTGGGTCAGCTGTATTTAGCCAACATACTTTAACGGCTAATTCGGACGAAAAAAATTCTCAGTTTACCTCTTCGGTGAAACAATTTTCAGAGGGTGATTCGTTTGTGTATCGACGATGGAACTATTAGACCGCGTACCTATCTCGCTCGCGGTCTTCAAAAAACTCCGCTTCCATTCTATTATTTTGAAGGAAAACAAATCAACATCATTCTTGGAAATCTTCACCTCGTTAAGAGTTTACTCGGCACATTGAAGTAAAATCACGGAAGTTCTCAAGAATCGATCGACGCTGAGTAGCTTTCCGTTCAAAACATAACGTAAAACTGGATGTCTACAACGTTGCAAACCGAGATACGTGGTCTGGTTGTTTCACCGTTGACATACAATACACATTCCGTGAATAAAAATATTATTTGGACATGTTTGTGCTAGGAGGAACTATGTTGCTCGCAATCCCTATGCAAATAGTTCCTTTTAGCATAAATACGTCCATTTGGAGGATGCCGTCATCAACTTTCATATTATTGGGGTTATTTTCAGACAACACGATGACTTTCGGTGAATGAACAAACTCCCAGAGCTCTAGATTAATTTGTTCGTCCATGTAATAATTATCCATTTCGAAAACATCCCTATGACTGGAGACAGGCAACCAGGAGATAGGTAAGTAAGCAAGGAACAACCTGCTAGAGCGAGGATGGTGAATCTGGACTTTCTGTTCTGACCGACCATTCAGATTAGAAGCTGTGCCTTGTGCCTGCATCCATGAGATATTTAAGGCATTCCGATCAAACCTTAGAGATAAAGTAATGTCAAGAAACTGATGTTCTTGGACTACAGTAGAAAATCAATAGAAACAGCCTTAGCTAACTCACCTTATTATAGGAGACTCGAAAATAGTAATCCAATATCCAAATTTAGGCTGTGACTTATACACTTCACACAAACACCAAACAAATTTCGATCCAGAGAGTGATGAAAAGGCGAAATTAAGGCCGAGATTTCGAATATCACACTATCATGCACGAGTTAAGGAAACGTTATCATTTAGGTAAAGCCACTCTCGGACACACTGATCAAAAGTTAGACATCAAAAAGGCTTGCATGAAAGCAGGGAGAGAACTGTAAACAAAGCACTATCACACGCCGGTTCTGAGAAAGCACCAGACTCAGCCGACCATTCCCGGTAAAGCGGCGAGATATTTCGGGAAATCTGCGATGGAAATAGTACGATTCACTCGTTAATTTGCCGAACTAAACACAGTACTTGGCCGACATAAACACATTTTGGCACGAGGGTATTATCCGAGAGGATGCAGGCGAGAGCAGAGGTGTAAACACTTTCGAATCCGTCGTTAAACACTGCACAATTTGAACCCACGAAACGGTTCGAATGGGATAGAACTACCTACGAGCGAAAAGTAAAATCTATCATGAGGCACTTTCGAGCGGTTTAAGACACTGGGAAAGGCTGGAATCGGAGTGATTTTTGAAAAGTAACCGTTTCCGACGCGGAGCGAAGCGACGTGACCTACGTGGCGGCGTCTCAGTCACAACTGGAAAACATCACGGCCAAACACCAAGTTCACGCCGCGAGAGGGGAGGGGAGCGGCAGTGTTGCACGCGGCTGGCGCGGAGGGAGGGGTCGGAGTAAACAAACGCACAGTGGTACGTTTAAACATGGCTGAGATTCGAAACCGGTTTTTCGCTACTGATCGATATCCATCTTCTCATCACTACATGTCGGAAAGGGGCTCCAGAATCAGTGTGCAAGCGAAGGGACGTTCTTATCTCTTATTCTTAGAGGCAATTTTCACATAATTTTGTGGAACTTTCAAGTTTGGTATGATTACAATTTCTTTCTTTTTTTGTCTATTTTTCAATGCTTTTAAAGTTCTAAGATTTTTTTTTACGTTCTCGAGTAGGTGAAAGGAAATGACGTCATGCGCCCGGCAGAAAAAAAACGAGAAAAAAGATCTGATATGTTTTTAGAAAAATTGAACAACTTAGCTGATGTCATATTCTTCTCCCGGCGTAGTTATGATTAGTCTTCAGAAATTTTAATTTGGTTTTTGGAGCAAATAAAACACACCGCATGAACATCTAGACGTTGCCAGATTACCTTTCATAATTTTTTTTTGTATTAGGAACTTGTTTGCGTTTTCTTTCAAATTTTTATGGGATTTCACTGACCAAGCTATTCATGACTCCATTTTTTGAAAACTTTCTGGTCAGTTCCAGCTCTGAGAGAAGGAGGAATGGAAGCTGATCATTTTAGAAAACCTTAGCAAGCCCCGCATTAGTAAATTAATTTGAGATTTATGATGAGCCGTATTTATGCTTAACACATCTCACATTGAATTTTTCAGCGAAAATTTGATGGTTTTTGAATGCTCATACGGTGTTCTTTCTGAAAACGAAAAATTATGTGACCAGTTCCAACCTCACGCATAAAATGCACCATCGTAAGAGCCGAAGAAAGAGGAGGAACCACTAAGGAAGTAGATGCCTGGGTAACGGCTTTGAGCGACGTAAATGAGTGAGCGAAGAAGGAAATGAGAGGACTTGGTGAGTGTTAAGTTGCGTTTGTGCAGCTTATGGAGAATTGTGGCCACATTAAGTTTACAATGTTGTTGAGCTGGCATGTGCAGTGCAGTTCTGACGTTAATCTTCTGGCAATCGTGCCCTCTTTTTCAATTGCGGCAAACACCAGGAAAATCCTAATATTTAATCTCATTCGTTCCGATTCCTAGCTCTCCGCTAGTTTTTCACTTCATTTTTTGAAAACTCTCCAGTTCTGAGAGGAGGAGGAATGAAAAAAAATAAATAAATAAAAAAAAGAGAACAAAGGGTATTATTTTCACCTAGATTTGGACCGAGTTTATCAGAAAGGAACCAAACCACATGTTTTAAAAAATTGAGTCAAGAAGATTTTTGAGTCCCACCAGTCGTATATTTTCTCCTCTCAAACTCAATGTCGGAAAAAAATTAGTTTGTGAAAGGAGGGGTTAAATTGTATTTTCTACATTGAGTCTTGGAATAAACTTAATCAGGAACTCAGTCAGGAATGAACTTAAAACCTCTTTTTCTCAGTTCCAACTTAATGTGGGTTGGTCCCTGTCTGATAAACTCGGTCAATTTATCCTAGAGGCCACCATACGCGGTCCAACCGCCACACGCCACAGGCCGCTTCGCGCCCTCTGATAATCATTTTAGAAACCCTGGCAAGCTCTGCATCATTCGTGGCATCAGTAAATTAATGGTCCGCTCATATTGTTTGTCACTCGTCCCGATCAGTTCGCCTTCAATGGCCTGATAGGCAATGTCAGCAGCCTGGAAGCAGTAATAGTTGCTCACCGCATTCCGGCCACGATCATTCAGTTTGCTTAGCGGCTAGATACTTCACTCACATTGTTTTTCACTCGTCCCTACCAGTTCGCCTTCAACATCTTGATAGGCAATATGAGCGTCTTGAGAGCAGTTATACTTGCTTGCAGCATTTCGGCCCCGTTCCCTCGGTTTATTCATAACTGTAACGGCTGAATAATGTTACTTTCCGTCATTACCCATCGTGTATTTGCTCCATTACAATTTTCCTACTTTACCTGCTACGCTACCCAAGCCGCACAGATGATTGTTATAAATTGCGATTACATTTGAAGCCATAGGAACCCGTTCGTCGATGTTTCTCTCCGATTAATAGTTATGCCATTGTGCACTTTACGCTCCTCGCATCATCCTTATTTTGCTGGACATAATTATCTAAAATGATTCCTTTTGAGCATTAAATTTTCCGGGGAATATAGAATTAGGCTGGCATATAATACTGAATATTATAATTTGAATGAATTGTTCTACAACATTATTAATTGAGTGAATATTATCCACAATCTGACCTGATGACTCAGAAATTGTCAAGGAAAAACATTCTTAGTTTGACTCAAAAATCAACATTTTAGCAGAAAAAATTTGACATTCAACATTTGAATGTACGTACATTTCCCTTCGAGCCACGTTCATGCGTCACCCTGACGCGATAAAATGTTACCCCTTTTCCAAGAGGCTGTTAATTAGGCGTGAACAACCTCTTTATTAAACGATGGATGATGATCGAGACTATCGTGTCATCGCTGGACGAGCAATGTAATGAAGAAGGAATGCTTCAATTTTATTTCTGCCGAATACCAACGAAAAAATGCAGACGTAAAAAACACTCAATAGATTGCACGGACAATTCGGTCTCACAGGACGCTTGAAAAACACGCTTTTGTTTCAAGCTGTTGGCGTCGAATAGCGATGACTCCGTAGGTGCGTAAGACAGGTAGTTCCTCTGATGAGGCACCAATCCTCCCGTCTCCAGTCCGTGTGTCCCTCCAAAGGACGAGACAAAGCTGTCACAACAAGGACTAGTGGGAAGATTTTCTCCTCAGCTCGTCCATTGTTGCCAAGTTCTTAGGAATCTTGATTTTTCACGTGGAGGATTGAGTTTCTTCCTGCCCCCCCCCCCTTTTCTCTTTGGTCTGTCAAAATCTGACCGTTAATTGAACGATATTCTGGCAATAACAGTGGTAATTTCTTTTCTCCGTTCGGAGAACATTCTGTACAAATTTCAAGGTGTAAAATTGATTTGTTTTTTCTCAAACAAATAAAATAGAAGCGGAAATTTTGAAACACCGCTATGGAGAGACGTGGGTTTCTTCTCCCTTCACCCCCTCCTTTTCCTCTTTGGTCTGTCAAAATTTGACCGTTAAATGACCGATATTCTAGTGGTGGCAGTGATAATTTTTCTTCTCCGTTCGGAGAACATTCTGCAAAAAATTTCAAAGTGTAAAGTTGATTTGTTTCTCCCCAATCAAATAAAATAGGAGCGGAAATTTTAAAACACCACACTGGAGATACGTGGTTTCGCATTTTATCGATATCGATGGTAAAACTGCAAAAGAGCGTATATCCCATGCGCGTTACATAAAAATCTCTCATCCCATTTGATTTCGTCTATAGAGAACGAACCAACACTATTGCTTGAAATTTGTACAAGATATTCTTGAAGCGAAGAGGACAATTCAGGAGGATTTTTAAGCATTGACAATGAGGATATTTCACTTTACAAAATAAAAAATGATAGGAAATATGCACGCTTTCTTGCAGTTTCAATGCTATTATGGGATTTCTCCGTGTCTTTATCTTTTACAAAATTGAATGTCTAAAATAGTTGACGATAGGGGATCGGGGTGAGAGACATTACCCTTACATGCCTCAAGTGAGAAAACCTGTGGAGCAATGAAATGATTACTCTCGCCAATTATTTTCCTTATGAGAGCTAGGAAAAATAGGAGCTGAGGAAAATTCCGAAACAATTGATTTTATGTCTAAAACTATGCTATTTTGATTTGTATATACTTTCGCTCTTTTCACTTTAAAATAATTTTATTTCACTACTTAGTACTGACTATGAAACTGTAAAACCGTGTACCTCGATTCCAATGTTTTAAAATTTCTGCTCACATTTTATTTTGTCGAAGGAGGACGAATAAACACTATTTCTTGAAATTTTACAAGATATTTTTAACATCGAGAAGAAAAATCAGTAAAGTTTTAAACATATTTCCTGGCGTATTTTTAAATTTAAAAAAAAAAAAAAAAAAAAAAAAAAAAAAAAAAAAAAAAAAAAAAAATGGTAAAAGGTCTGCAGCCTCACAAATTAAGGCTCGCGTTTTTGTACTTTAACTGTAGATAAACTTCAGCTCGTTGAGTTTTCCCAAATTATTGCAATGTAAAAGTTTTTGACTTTGACTTCAGTACTTCCCTCAAAATGCATGGAACCGCAATATCGGATGCAGACTTAGAATTAAAATTTTAAATCGAAGACTTATCAGGTCAATGAAGTATATTAGACTAAAGAAATAAGACTCGGTTGAAAATATTCTTCGGTATTTAATTAGTTGGAATGAAGTCTAGAGAAAATAAAGTTTCTCGTCGCAAATAATGTAGCTTGTCGGAAATCTTCCATATTTATCTCATTAGGCAACCTTGCTTTCTGCGTTCGTTAAGGCTTGATCCAATCCTAAAGGCGCCTGAATCTGATTTGTTACGCCAGTTATAAAATTACCCATCCTTGATAAACAATTGTCGTACCTTTGTGTTGGGTCCACCGTCCCTTCCCCCGGACGCCTTTTATCTTCCTCCACCCATCGAAGAACACAAGTAACAAATTAATGATGCAAAAACGCCGACCATCAGAAAAGAAGATGTCTTTCTTTGGGTCGGTCAGGCTCGTGTGGTGTCTGTCGCAATAGCCACACGCTATTGAGATTGAGGTATGTAGCTGAATCAGAAGCGCCGACAAGGACATCTCTTTATTTCATGAGTTTTACTTCAATGCTCTTCAGTTGCATTTATACGCATTATACTTAAACTTTGGGCCGCTTTCTTCTAGATCTGCAGATGCTTCCTATTTAACTTAATACAAACAACGAATTACCTGGCATGTTCTCTCTTCCTCTAAGATTCATTGAAAGAACAAAAAAGGAGACTAAAAATCAGTACCAATAGTGCGAATTCTGAACG